CCCCCCCCCCACCCCCCAGGTCTCTGCCAGACAAAGGTTGATGTTGGTTGAACCCACCGGCTGTGTTTTGTTACGAGGCTCTGAAAATCGCCGGAAGAGAACACAGTTCCTAAGAACTATTTTTTAAGGAGCCCCACCTAATGCTGGTGGTGGTCACAGTCAAATCGCGAGGGTACCTGGCAGGCATAGCAATAGAAGGAAATACGAAACCAAGGTTCCCCCGTGTCTGGAAGTGGCAGCCTCCCTCCCCAAGACACTCTGATACTGTCAAGTAACTTTGGAGACAATAGAAAGGTGCCTTAATATAAAACCTGCTCTTTCGCTTGTCCTTCTCTACGTAAGAAGAAAAGCGCTGAGGGACCTTCATTGCCTTAGCCTCCAATGTACTTCACCAGTGTTCTTCCTCCTTTTTTCTTTTTTCTCTTGAAAACTCTTGTTGCTTTTCTCTAATCCTAGAGCGCAAAGACAAGAGCTAGGCCTGGAGGCCCTGCACAAGGCATTGCTCCCGCAGAGGTCTTATAAATCAGCTAAAAAATCAATACGTTCTATATGGCAGCTTCTCCTTTGCAACCAGATCGCCAGGGGACAGAACTAATGCTTTTTCTTCACCACCAACCCCATCTTTCTGTCATAAAAAAAAATCTGCTTAGGAACGAAGGGGCAATCAAAGTTGCTGAGTAAGTATTTCAACTATCTAATGTTATTACTTTACAATTGACATACCTTCCCTCTGGAAATGTTTGCAATTAATTAATTAGCAGTAATCTTCCCCAAGGGACTAATTGAATGAATTCTCTCCAATGCTCCCTTAAAAAAAAAAAAAAAATAGCTTAGATGTATCCAAGCTGCAAATGTGTGGATAGCTCCAAAGTGCGTTTTGAAAAAATCAAGGGATGTATCTATTATGGGGAATTTTTATCACTAAATCAATCTGGCGAGGACTATGATTCTTTTTCTAACTGGGAGTTTCCCTGGGGTTGAACGCAAGGTTTCTCCAAGGTAACGGACCAGGCAACCCAGCTGGGTTCGTTAATATTGAGAATGGAGCTTGTCCTCATAATAATCATCCCAGGCAGAGGGGTCTGCGGTTGGCGGCTTCTTCTGTGCCTTGTGCGTTCTGCAGAATCTGTTTGGGGAGGTGGGCGAGCCGATGTTGTTCCAAACAGGTAGCTGGCTTCTGG